TATTGGCTGAGGGGTGCAGGCTGCACAAGCCCCAGACTTGGTTGCTTTCTGGTTTCAAATGGAATGTAAAATGGTGCAGACACTGTAAAAGTTTTTGTCAGTTTCTAATAAAAACAAATATATACCTATCCAAGGGCTTTTACATGTCCCGTTATTTATGAAACAGAAATGAACCTATAGAGTCACAAAGACCTGAATAAAGAAATGTTCATATCTTCACACTTCATAAATGATCAAACCAGTAAACCCAAACGTCCATCAGCAGGAGAATAGATAAACTATGGAATATTCACTCGGAGGAAAACTACTTGGTAATACAAAGAACAAACTACTGCTAACGCTACGGTGTTGATGAAACTAAAAATAGGTTGAGTGAAAGAAGCCTTTATAAGTACACATTGTATGCTTCCACTTAAATGAAGTTCAAGGAAAGATGAACCAAATCTATGGTGATAGAAATCAGAATAATGATAGAGGCAGGGAGATGGAGGATTTGATAGGTATTGACTAGAAAAAGGCACAAAGAAATTTTCAGGGGTAATGAAAAATGTTTTTCATCTTGATCTGGTTGATGGTCACCCAAGACATACATTTGTTAAAATTTAAGAGCTGTGCACTTAAACTGTGTATACTTTAGACTATGTAAAGTATATGTCATTAAAGTACTGTTGAAGAAGGGCCTGATGCAAGGACCCCTATATTATGGGCCTCACAGTGTTCCCAGTCTCTCCTCTACTTACCCTATAGCTTGTACCTGCACACAGACTTTATTTCTTTAATATAGTTTTTCTCTTGATTCAAGCTGGTTTTGCCCAGATAAAGGCTTTATGACTCCCCCATCCTTGTCCTCTGTATGCCTGCTCCTTAAATCATTAAGCTTTAGGACATGATTAACTGAGCCTCTATAATCATGAGGACAAATAGGTTTGGGTTGAACTTTAAGCTAAGTATAACATCTTAGCTTTAGATGTGTTTCAGCCACAGCCTCATCGAGGGAAAGGTCACGGGATCAGACGGGATGGCGCCATGGCTGATTCCAGAAACGGACACTGATCAATGACCTCAATGCCCTTAGTTTCCATGACTACTGATTTTTTTTTTTCCTATGTAATCTGTACTCCCGAGAGGGAGCCAGGCCTTTGAGCGATAGCACGCCTGTCCCTGGGAGTTGCAATTCTCTAATAAACGCTTATTCTATTTAGTCCGACTCCTGTGTCAGTCTTTTGGCTAAGCAGAGCAGGCAGCACAAACTCTGGACTCATTTGCCTGCTGGTTTCACTGTCAGGACAAAGAAATTAAAAGTAAGCTACCATTTATAAGGGCAAACTTCATTACGTTTGAGAACAGGTCGGCCTATATTAAAAGATATTTATTTGTAAATTTCTTCATTAGCACTTGTTCAGGCGAATCTATTTTATTTACATGATGTAAAGTTGTCAACAGATTAGGAAATTCCCAGCATTTATAATGACTCTCTTATTCACTGAAATCAGAACAGCATGTTCCCTTTGTTAGATTTCACTTTTATTTTCAGTTCTAGATTCCTGGGTAGAATGTTTATGTATTTCTTTAATTAAAAATGTTTAAAATTTACAGTGCAATAGCATTAGGTTAGTACTGAAGTTGTTTCAACATTATTACTTTCAGAGAAAGAATTTTTTTTATCATAATTACCCTCAAAGGAAAAAACACTTTAAAGTTGATTATTTAATAATAGGATATTGAGAACATATCACTGCTAAAGAGATCAAAGTCCCAAACCAGGAACGGGGTGAAAAACCCTCGCACACTTACACCTTGCTTACTCATTGAAAGTAGGAGAAACTAAATAACTAAAGATAGTAATGGCCCTATGTGTCTACCTTGTCCCTTTCCTCAAACATTTTCTTCTTATTTCTGTCTCTAAAAGAGTATTTGGTGAGAAAATATATTTAGATAAGTTGGACACTGGAAAGAAGAGAAGAGTTTTTGTATAACATATTTAGGATATTCAAAGGGTTAGAGGGAAAACGTAAGGTATGTTATACTATAAAAAAATTGGGGTGCAATTTTAAAATAGAGTAGGCCCAAGTAGATAGATTGACTCCATTTTTGTGAGTCAACAAAAATTTATTGAGCACCTACTATTTTCAGGTGCCCAGCTGGTACTAGAACAATGCAGTGAACAAATATATACAGTCCTTATTCCTATATAACTTAGAATTGTTACAAGAAAACGATGGCTTTTTAAAAATCAACAATCAAAGTTGTATAAAATGCCACAAAGAAGACATATTGATTCACTCCAGGCCCTGAAAGTTCTGATCTCAACAATCATTATTAGTTGGAAGAACTTGTGAATCCTAGTCAGTTTAGAATTTCTTAGGCCGTGGTCTTTAAACTGGGATATGTGTTCCCATGGATGAACTTACCAAGTCTTTACAAAGATTTAGCCATGTGTAAGTGGAACTCAAATATTTTTAAGGGAATTAACAATCTGATGTTGTATTTTCATATGTAGTTTTCCCTTAAACTGATCTTCTTGAAAACAAGAGTTTTTAGGTTGCCAGGTCTCTTCTATCTTCTCACAAAGTTTCTCTCTTCTTAGAAAATACAGGTTCGCCTCTTACCCAACTTGGGTTTTAAAATGGTGTATTGACCCTAGGTATAAAATCTTCCCGAACAATTAGAAATATTCATTGTTAGTGTTGAGAAAAATGGATGACTCCAGTATCTGCGTATAACGCTGCCAGATAAAATATAGGACACCCAGTTAAATTTGAATTTCAGATAATCAATGAATAATGTATTCAGCAAATAATGCTTTACATGGAACATACTTATACTGAAAGATTATGTGTTGTTTATCTCAAATTTAAATTTAAGTAGATGTGCTGTATTTTAATTTGCTAACTATGGCAACCCTAACTGGGGAACAAAAGTCTTGTGGTTTCCAAGTCACCGATTTAAAGAAAATTGAGTTGTCTACTGATAACTGATCTTTCAGAATAAAGATCACTAAATGAGTTTTGGGCTATAAAATAAATGTTTAAAAAATTGTAAAAAGTTAATTTAATAACATCCCTTCTGGGCCTATCTACTTATTTATGTAGATTTTTCAACACTTAATAATCTTTAGAAATGAAAAAGAGGAACAGAAACTATGCTAAACCCTATCATATTCTAGTAATAGGTGATATTCATGAACACACACTTGAATAAATTGTTAAAATATAACCTGCAACCCTATTAAGATTGCATTTGAAGTAGGATTTTACTTCAACATTTATAATATGTTTATATTATTTAATCAATTGTTTAATAAGTACTGAAAGTAATATGTGATAATGCAATCAAGGAGAAATTTTTCTTTAGCACTTAGAGCCTATGATCACAAAATAAGTAAAAAAATAAATTTTATAAAAATTAAATTTCAATCTATAGCCATGCCACTCTGAACAAGCCAGATCCTGTCTGACCTCAGAAGCTAAGCAAGGTCTGGTCTGGTTAGTACTTGGATGGGAGACCACCTAGGAAGACCCGGTGCTGTACGTGTAAAAAAAAAAAAAAAAATTAACTTTTAATTTATGCATACATTGTTTCAGAAATATGTGCCAGAGTGATCATAAAGATGTTCATTATGAACATATATTAAAATTCTGTGGGAGGGAGTAGAACGTTCAAGGACAAAAGGCAGTGATATAATATTTCCAATTATTAAAGATGAGCTGATATATTAATTGTTGAACAGATGACAGTGAGTATCAAATGGCTGTAGTATTTGTAATTCATTGTATATATTTAAAAGAGTGGTGGATCAGTTTTATTTTAAAATATCTGTCTATATTTTGTATTTCCTTTGCAATTATGACAACTTTTATGTTTTAATATCGAGTTAAAAACGTGCAGAAGAATAAAGTTTTCCAAAACTCTTTTGGTGGATACATGATCAACAGTGTATAAGGACCACAAAATGTTTTTGATCATCCAAAGATGAGTTGAAAATAACTTATAAAATTTTGAATTAAGCAGGTTCAAAAGTATATTGACTTGGAAAAAAAGGGGGAAAAAACAAAAACAAAAAAAACCACACAAAAATTTATTGAAATCTCTACATGATAGACAAACTTAATCTTTGTGATATAATGCCATCTGGAGCTCTTCCAGGCTGTATTGAATGGAATGGGCATCCTTCTTGTTTCCACAGGATAATGATGAATTCAGGAATAATATTATGGGTTCTGCCTTTAGTTCCTGATTGTCTTTGATATACTGGAAGACAGGAAAGTCAGGTGAGCTCTTCCAATTCATCTGTTTCCCTGGCACTGTCTCAGATGAAGTTGCTTAAATTTACTGCTTAGCCAAGGAATGTTGAGGAAAATATGGCAGTGCTCTTAGACTCAGACTTCGGGTTTCCATGAGAATATCCCCTATGAGACAAGAGGTGGAATTTTTTATAGCCAACTCTGCCCTAGTTGTAAAAAAAAAGAAAAAAAAAAAAACAAATAAAAAAACAAAAAACCCACCCAACCAAAAAAAACCCGTTTCTATATAGGAAACCAATGAGGTGATCTCAATCTTTGAAACAGTAAAAATAAGCTGAAAAAGAGTCATGTGACTTTTACATGCCTCTGCATTTCTATTTATTCCTTACTTTCTCCATTAGAACAAAAAGTAAAAATTAGCAGAAGGAATTCACAAAATTTCGTGTTTTGTTTTTTTCATTTCTTTCTCTTTTAATATATATGGGAGATGGACCTTTTCCATTCAGGTTATCTTCTCTGCACCGTTACCACTATTTCCTCTGACCCACGAACAATGAACCAAAGGTCTTTCAGTAAATGCCACGCCCATACACCACAGTTAAGAAACAGTCATGCTTTTAGGGTCATGGAAATCCCCGAGTGGGTTTGACAGGCCACTGATTAAGGGGAAGTGTGTGTGGTTATTACCGCTGGAGTTCCCCTACGTCCTAAGAGGAAAGCACCAACCAGTGGGAGGAGTGCAGAACACCAGGCGTGTCGGGTGTATGTAGGTGGGGGTGGGGAGGGCGAAGTGAGACATTAAAAGACAGTGTGAGACTGTAGCCGGCACGGAACAGCCGGGGCGACAGGTGTCACCCGAGAAGACACGGCAGGCAGGTCTTGCTAGCGCACATCGGCCTCAGGGCAGCAGGTGGGTGACGAGCGCTGCCGCGAGGCTGTGAGCGCGCGCGACGCCCTCCCCACACCCATCGCGCCCGGGCAGGAGCCGCTTCTGCTGCTGGGCGAGAGGCGCGCGGGGCGGGCGGCGGAGGACGAGGGCCAGCGGGGAGGCACGGTCACCGAACACTGCTCTAGGGCCCAGAGGTCAGCTCCAGGTCGGCCCTCGAGCAGACTGGGCTCAAGCAAAAACACTGGGTACCCCGCGAGCGTGGGCGTCTTTCCCCCTGCGCGCTCGGCGCTCTCTGGGCGGGTCCCCGCCGCCCTGGCCCCGGAGACTTTGCGGCCAGCCGGTGGGGAAGCGCTGGGCCACTGGGCTCTGGGGCGCGTGAGGGTTCTGCCCCGCCCGCCCTGCGCTCGCCGACATTCACTTTCGGAGTGCTTTGTCGCCGGGGGCTCAGTTATGGGGAGAGGCAGTGAACTGGGGATGGGGAGGCTTTGATATTTGGTTTAATTTGCTTGCCAAGAAGTATCACCGGGTCTTTGAGTGTGCTAATTAAGCTTCAGAATAGAGCCTAAAGCAGAGCTTTGCATAATGACTCAGTAAAATATTTATTTAATAAATAAATGTAGAAATGTCCCCAAGTGGTGGCAGAAGGACAGCTGGTTTTCGATTCTTTTCCTGGTGATTGGCAGGGAAATCCAGTAGTGCTCTTAATTAGTAAAGTACTGGGGGCATTTGGCTGATGCTAAAGTAACTAACAGTAATATTTGCTCTTTATTGCTAACATCAGCTGTTGCTAATACCTAATCATGCTAGGATCCCCTCCAAAGACTTTTCAGGTGTTTTTCAGGTTTAATTCTCAAAATCTTAGGAAGCAATTACCATAAGTAGCTCCACTGACCATGAGGAAACTCAGGGAGATTGACTTGCCTAAGGTCGCCACCCCCTACTCTCCCCCTATGGGGAGACTGAATGGTGTTGGAAACACCTTAATACCATGCAAATGAGGGTATGGTGGTCATGTGAGGGGAGGCCTCAGTCAAGTTTGCTAAAATTCACTTCTTCAACAAAAGATCTTAGTGTCTACATTATATGCCGGGCTGGGTAGGTGTTGAGGTTGGGAAGGCTGTTACATAGCAGAAATAGAGTTCTGATCTGAAGGAGCTCAGGGGGAGGCAGAAAAAAAGGCAAACTTACATTTTAGCGTCAGAAACATGGATATGCTAAGTGCCCAAGAGGGTAGTGACACCCAACAGCCCTGGACTCAGGGAGGCTGCCCACTGGAAATGATAGAGTAATAAGAGAGCAGGTTGGGGACTTGAGCCAAACTGAGAAGGAACCACTAGAAAGGAATTCCAAGAGCGTGGTAACAGAGAAGCCAAGGGAGTAGAGCATTTCTAAGAGGAAGTGAGCCCCAGTGTCAGACACAAAAATTTCCACTGGTTTTGGCAAAGAAGCGATTGGTGTTAATAATATGGAGATTAGTTTTAGATAGTGTTGGCTAATGCCAATTGTAGTCGGAGACCTTAACCATAGATGCTTGTTAATTCACTTGGCTGTGAAGAGATGGTGAGAAACATGATAGTTGTTAAAGTGAAAAGTGTGGTTCAAAGAGGAATTTTTGGTTTGTTTTTATTTGAATGCTTAGACGAACTTAAGCATGCTTGTTATATTGAAGGAAAAGAGCCAGTAGAGAGTGAGAGTTGAACAGATGAGGGGGATGGGGTTAAGATTTCTGAGGCTGTAGGAGGATGGGACCTGTAAAGGGGCAAGTATTGTTATCTGAGGTAGCAAGTAGGTTGTGAGTGAAAAAGGCGTGGATTTGAGAATGTGAGGGGATTACTGCTCAGTGATGTCTCTTTTCTTTGAGAAACAGAAGGCAAAGCCATCTACCAAAAGCAAGATGGGAGAGTGGTGGAGAAATTGGAGGAAGGTATTGAATGTTTAGAAGAGTTGTATAGGACAGTGGGCTAGGGAACTGACCAGGGTTAAGTGGAATTGTTAGGGATGGTGAAGGGCCAAGCCTAGGTGGCATGTGGAATCATGCTGGTCCCAGTCTGCAGGGTTGCAGGTATTCTGCAGCAGCATTTTGGAAGTCAAAATGTTGGAAATGGTTAAGATAGAGTTTAAATTGATCCAGGGTTGGCATCTTGGCTTTTTTTTTTTTTTTTTTTGGTCTATTTATCGTATAACTGTTGCCTAAATTTTCACAAACACTTGCCTTGCTTTCACACCAAAGCTTCTTTAATGAAAGATTTATGCAAGGGTTGGCAATCTCAAATGCATAGGGGCCAGGGAGGTGATATAAATGAATAAAACTGTGGGTGTCTCTTTTAAACAAAACACACTTTGTTTACATATGTTAACATGTAAGAATATTCTTCCTTTCCAGAAAGAAATATGATATGCTCATTTTTCTCTAAACATGTGTCTCTTTGTCTACCTTTCATTTTTGTGACTTTGAACAGGCACACATATTAGAATAATTTCACTTTCCAGATAACTCTACTGTAAGAAAAACAGTAGTGCCAGCTCAGTGACAAATAGCAACTGCCAGTCTCCAGGAGTCAAAGTGTAATGTCAAACTGGAGAGCATGTGCCCTCCCTGAAGGGTACAGTCACTGCTGGAGGCTGGCTGATTGCTGCCCTGCAGGAATATAGGCCCCGTGTGGCAAGATCTTCTGATCTTTCAAGAGAAGCTTGGAATCTAGGATGTTATGAGAAATCTTTTAACTTTTAAAAAATGGTCGGTAATTAATTAAAACATTTCAAAATACTGTGGTCCAAGATAAACTTATTTGGAAAGCTGGCAAAATTCAAACAAGGCATGCAGATTAATTAACAGCTTTATATCAATATTAATTTCCTGGTTCCAGTAATCGTACTATGGTTGTTTATGTAAGATGTTAACTTTGGGGAAGTTGAGTGCAAGGTATGTGAGAACTGTTATTTTTGTAAGATTCTCTAAGTATAAATTAACTTCAAAATAAAAAAAAGTTAAAAAAATTAGTAAAATACTGTAGTACATTTCTGTGCAAGCCAAACATAATATCTCTGCTGGCTTCCAGTTTGAGCCCTCTGGTTTTCGTCTGGGATTTCCTGGCCTCTGCCGTGCCTAGTACAGCACCCTGTACACGGTAGACAATTAGTAAACACTAGAGCTCTATTTTGGAGAAAATGTTTTTTAAATATCATTGTGTTACTTCTGTGAACTATTTGACTTTTAAAACTGTCTTTTTTTTTTTAACAGGTTTTGCAAAGGAAGTGAACAGTTCTACTTCTAGATTTTTTCCAGTTTTTTCTGTAAATCAAAACAGTTCAAAATGGAGGCCTAAAATCCTAAAAAGGGACTTAGTCTAATCTCCGGGAGGTAGTTTTGTGCATGAATTAAACAAATTAAGTAGCTAACTAGAGTTTTTGGCATCCAAAGAATGTTAATTTTAAAAATATCATCTAGTTACATAAAATATAACTGTAAAGTAATAATGAGTTCGATTTTGAATTTGATTGTGGAGAAGTGATTGTACCTGGGACGCATTGTTGAAGCACTCTTCAAAACTGGTCAGGAAATCTCCCACTGGCTGCTATGTAGAATAGAAAAAAAGTACCTTTGTTTGGTAAAATTTAAAAATGAATAACAGCTATCTAAAACAAAAAGTCAATATTGACCCTTTGCTAAATTAGAGAAATGTGCAAATAAGACCTTTGACATGTTAAAAGACTTCTACAATGACAAAGAAATGTCAAGAACAAAACTTTTTGATAGGTACAACAAATTTAGACAAAGTAGGAAAGATGAACTTGATGACTGGTGAAGAAATTAACCATTGATAAGGCTATTGGTATTTTAAAAGTCTAAAATGTAGTTAAAATGAGCTATCTCTGAGAATGATAAGAATAAGAATGATGGCTGGTGGTTACATTTTGGTAAACTGAACAAACTTATTCAGAAAGAAAATTTTACAGAGACAGTAATTAACACCAAGAAGGTTTCGATAATAACGTGTAAACTTTTTGGCCAATGAAAGGAAAACTGAAATTAGACATAATAATTTACTTTTGAGGGAAATAAACACTAGTATTGAATATTTCTCCCACCACCTGGAAACGAAGCATTAAAGTCTGTAGTAGAAAATTCCAATATTAAAAAAATATATATTTCCCAACATCTGTGGGACCCAGGAAACCATTTTGCAAATCACTGCTAGAAAAACCATGATGACTCGTTTATTGGTCATTGCTGATATTATTGATGCAGAATCTATTTTTTAATAGTCATGGTTGAGATCATCTGAATTTTGAGAACGCCACTGTTCAAAAAGAGTGGATTGTGACGAAGTAAATTTATTTATTTTTTGGTCTTGATAAATTTCAGTTCAAGCTATGCTATCTGTGAAAAAAAAAAAAAAAAATTTCTGACCAAAGTCAAGTTTGTACAATTTGGCTCTCTATTTTGACCTACAAACTCAGCACTCTGAGTTTGTTTTTAAAAATAAATTCACTATCAGAGTAGAAGATTTGATGTTGGCTCTACACAGCACAAAGTTTAGTTTAAAAGACCATTGAGCAAATACATTAATCTCTGATTACTTAAAATAGGTCTAATTTACTGAGATTTAATAGTATCACTATTACTAAGTAACCAGGTTCCTATCTATGGGAAATAATTATTATTAAATAAATCTTAAAACTAACCCTTAAGATGTATCAGCCAATTCTGTTACTATTTAAGCTCTTTATCGGGAAGAAAATTTTAGATTTTGTTCTATTATAATGATCGTAAGAAGAAAAAGTACTTAATTTGAGCAAGATTTGGGATACACCATATTTCATTGAATCTAAAATGCCATCAATTGTAAGACACACCATTATTTTATGTACCTCTAAGAAATAGAAATGCTGCTAACTAAAATATGATATGCCATTAATTGAAAGATAACCTCTCAATCACAGAGATATTAAAACATGCATCTTAGAAGCAGTGAAATATGGTAACAATTTCTTTTCCTTTTTTGAGGTAGGTCTTATGCTTTTTTTTTTCCTGGCTACCAAATTTCACAATTTAAATAAAGTGAAATAAATATAGTTTGAATATTTTTTCTGTAGAGTACTTACAGAGTATAATTTTCCACCATGAAAACAAGCCAGCTGTGTGAGTCAAACATTTTATCTTTAGGCTGGCCAAATGTCACTTAAGCATCCTAGTAGAGAAGTTTACCTACCTGTGGAAATGTCTGACACTAAATGGCATTTTGATGACCTAAAGCACTCTATACTTTTATGAAAGGTTTTAATTTTCATCACAAGGTTCTGTAGCATCATGTTTACATTGTACAAAGATTATACAAAGGTGCTCTTGTGCATAATTGTCCCTTAATATGATCAGTATAGGATATAAATCTCTCCATACTAAAACCCTAACTGCATTGGAGGAAAAAAACGGAAGGTTTCCCATTCTAGGTGTTCAACCTAGTGCTAAAACTTTAAAAAAAAAAAAAAAAAATCAAAAGCCATGCACAAAACTACCTCCCCAGAGAAAGGCTAGTCCCTTTTCCTCCCCATCCATTTCTTTATGAATATAGTAGAAAATAGCGTATTCTTGTCAAATTTGATGAAAAGTGCCAACATGTTTGAATTGAAATATGACCTTTCATGTGAACTGTATCGAATGTCTACGTATTCATTTTTCCCCACTGGTGTTCCTGTCTCAGAGAGGAGTCTTGCTCGTGCTGGTTTTTATTACACTGGTGTGAATGACAAGGTCAAATGCTTCTGTTGTGGCCTGATGCTGGATAACTGGAAACAAGGAGACAATCCTATTGAAAAGCATAAAAAGTTGTATCCTAGCTGCAGTTTTGTTCAGAAACTAAATTCAGGTAGCATTTCGGGAGCCACTTCTCAGTTTACTTTTCCTTCTTCAGTAACAAATTCCACACAGTCATTTCCGTCAAGTTTGGAAAACAGTGAATATTTCAGTGGCTCTTTTTCAAGCTTTCCGTCAAATCCAGTAAACTTTGGATCAAATCCTGTAAACTCGAGACCGAATCAAGATTTTGCTGCCTTGAGGAGAAGTTCCTACGGTTATGCAATGAATACTCTAAATGCCAGATTACTTACTTTCCAGAAGTGGCCATTGACCTTTCTGTCGCCAAGAGACCTGGCAAAAGCAGGTTTTTACTACATAGGACCCGGAGACAGAGTGGCTTGCTTTGCCTGTGGTGGAAAATTGAGCAATTGGGAACCAAAGGATGATGCTATGTCAGAACACCTGAGACATTTCCCAAATTGTCCATTTTTAGAAAATCAGTTTCAAGACACTTCATACACTGTTTCTAATCTGAGCATGCAGACCCAGGCAGCTCGTATGAAAACATTCTGTAATTGGCCCTCTAGTGTTGCAGTTCATCCTAAGCAGCTTGCAAGTGCAGGCTTTTATTATATGGGTAAGAAACTTAATCTGATAATAATAATAAAATTCAACATGTTTTGTACATTTTCATGGGAAAATTGTATGTATTCATAAGTTTTGGTCCAAAATTAATTTTAGGTCACAATGATGATGTAAAATGCTTTTGCTGTGATGGTGGACTGAGGTGTTGGGAATACGGAGATGACCCATGGGTGGAACACGCCAAGTGGTTTCCAAGGTAATTGTTTTGAAATTCTCTTTGCAAATATGTGGAACTATCATGAGGTGGGTTATATGCGTTAACCCTATAATCAGTCATTACTTTATTCTTTGTTTCAAAAATACATTTGTGAATAAACTTAAGATGGATTACTTAGAAAAATAATTACCTAAAAGGTTTTGATGGAAATTTAAGATAAAGAAATGGGTTTATGGCTTTTTGTGTAATATATATTTAAAAATAGTATAACTCACTATAAAACCAAAATTACATGTTGTAGACAAGTAGAGACAAAAAAAATTTAAATGTTCAGAATTCATAACCTAAAGATGGCTACAGTTACCATTTTAGTGAACATCCCTTCAGATATCTCCTTATGCACATGTACATAATTGTATACAATTTTATTACATGAATTAGATATTATATGTACTGTTTTGAAACTTTTTTCAATCAACATTATATCGTGGACATATTTCCATTCATTCAACATTCAATAACATTAATTGACGACCTATTGCTAGGCATTGTTCTAGGTACTTAAAATACTCAGTGGGACAAACTCCAAGACTCCTGGTCTCATATGACGATTTTATAGCAAGAGAGGGCAGATAATAAAAACTTAATAAATAAGTTACGTAGCATGTTGGAAAGTAGTAAGTGCTATGGATAAAAAGAAAAAAGAAATCAGGATAAAGGAGATCAGAAGCACCAAGCAGGTTACAATATTAAATAGGGTGATCAGGGTAAATATAGACCCATCTCATCTGTTTTCATCACTACATAGCATTTTATTGTTATGTCTTTCGCTTTTGATTCTATACTTGCTTACACTCTTCTTTTTTAAAAAATCAAAATTAGATGGCCTATATGTTTCTCATGGTCAAAACTTTTAGTATTTTGAATGTTGATTACTAAACTTAATAAATGTATTTTTTAAATATACCATATCTTCATTTATAATAACTTTGTGCTCCCCAAATATTTCAGATTTCATATTCAGATTTCAAAAATTATGAAGGTTAAGAACAACTTCCATAGTTGTTTTAAAAAGTGCTGCTAGATTTCCATTGTGCTAATTTTGTAAATGTATAAAAGGATGTTAAATTGGCTTTGATAGTGTCATGAATTCATTTTGTCCTGAAATTTGACAATGGTGGTATATTATCTAGGAAATGCCAAACTTGTAAATATCTATCTTATTAGAAAATGTTCCGCTTCCTCATTCTTTCTCTTGTCCCTCTTCGTATATTTTCAGCTTTTACACATACAAAGCTTATGTATGACTAGTATAATTAGGGAACTTGCTACCCATCTCCTTGGCTCTGTTCTTAATGTTTAGAGTGTTTCTAGGAATCTTAGAATAGTTGAAGAGAGTAACTAGAAGGTCTGAGTGAAGAGAGTCTTACCCATCTACAGTCAGCTGAGAGACTCGTGACCCTTATTCGCTTTGGCCTTGGCAGAGTACCAGCGATGGCCTTCCTCTTGCTTACATCATCTTGCCTTTGACTTTAGTATCTCTTACCACTTCTCATATACTCAATGAATAGTCCAGTGGTTATATGAATGTTTATGTTCATTTGAAATATTTAGCAGTCTACAAATGGCCAGATTAAAATAACTCCCTAAACTTAATTTTGTTTACATTTTAGGTGTGAATATTTGATACGAATTAAAGGACAAGAGTTCATCAGTCAAATTCAAGCCAGTTACCCTCATCTACTTGAACAGGTAGGGATGGTTTGTTTTATTCATTTTTTAATCGTTCATTAGCAACAGTTGAATTATTTTCTAATACAGGGAGTAGTATTTTAGTGCAAAAGCAAGAGTTGCTTTAAAAATACATTTTCTTTTTTATAATACCCAGCCATGATCTTAGAGAGTACTATTCTTTGGACAAAACAAATCCAGAATTAGAAACTTCTTGAAAAATAATATTTAACTTACGTTTCTCTCTAAGTATTTTTCTAATAAAGTTGCAATAAATTAAATTATTCAAAGAAAAAAATTGGGTCAGATAGTAGCATTTAATGTTTTACTATATTAATTTTTCTTAAAAAGATTTGATAAAGAGAATTGTGTTGCTATTTTTAATCTTCATAGAAAAGCAAATAAGAACTTATGCAATAGTTTGAGAGTCAAACACTTTCTTGCCATAGTAACTGATACAGGGTCCAGCTTATCCCAAAGGAAGACCCAGGAAACATAGATATTTGGGATGAAAGGCAAACAATGATTGTCTCATAGATCACTGAAAAGGTGTATCCATTCTCTTGCCTTAATAAAAATAGATTTTATTTGTTAATATAATAAAAGAAACTCATTTAGTTTATGGCTTGGAGAATTACTGTTGGATGTAAATAAAATATTGTTTTGACATAAAAAATTATTTTGCCAGTAAGCAAGTCAGTTTGCAATAAGTTGAATAAAAAACATATCTCGCTCTTTTTTTTTTTTTTTTTTGCAATGGATAGGATAAAATTTGTATATTTTAATTTTTACCTTTTTTCTGTAGCTGTTATCTACTTCAGACAATCCAGAAGATGGAAATGCAGAGTCACCAAGTATGTATCATGATGATAATTGCTACATTTAAATTAGAATCACTTGGTACTATTAAGATTGAAATTTGATAATGGTAATAATGTACATTTGTGTTATGATATACTTTACAATGCATTTTCAAATACATTAAGTTGGTATTTCTCAAACTTTAGGGCATAATTGCCTAAGGAACTTTAAATAGTACAGATTTAAGTCTCTACTTTAAGAAATATTACAGATTGCTAATCTCTACTTTAAAACTATTGAATTGAATCATAGTATCTAAGAGTGGAACTTGAGCATCTGTAGTTTTCACAAACTACACACATGCAGCCTAACCCTTGTTCTCAGACCAGTGTGGGAACAGATAGACTATGACATTAGATTGCTCACATATTCTTTCTATGAAATGAGAGGGAACAAAATATTATTTCCCCTTTTCAATAGGGACCCTGAGACTCAGAGAGTTAAGTGACCTGTCACCTTAAACTTAAAAAGTGATAGGGTCCATATTTGAACAAGCTCTTCTACTCCATTATCTAGTGTTCAATTCAATTCAATAAATATTTATTGTGTATCCACTATTCTGAGGAAAAAATAGAGAACAGAAAAAAACACAACTACTGTTCCCATGAGCTAATAATAAGGAACACAGACAAATAACACAGATAAGAGAAAGGAATGTGGTGGGAAAGTAAAGTGTGCTATGAGAATACATGAGGGACAGTTAACCTCAACTTAGAAGATCAGAAAAGGCTTCAGATAAGAGGAAGTATTTGTCTTATCACAGAATCAAAGGGAAGAGTAGGAATTAACCAAGTGACAAAAGGAAGAAAAGAATATTCCAGGCACAGAGAATATCACACAGAAAACTTAAGTGACAAAGGAGAACAGGCACATTTGAAGAACTGAATAAAATTCTCTACAGCCAGAAATAGGATTTGTGAACAGAAAAATGAGTGAGGCAGTTCAGCTGTAAGAGAAGTCAGCACTGCAGGCAGAATTTGATCCAAGAGCCATCAGTTTGTGACTTCTGGGCTAGAGTATAAAATGTGAATGAATAAGTGGCCAGAAATGAGGGTGAAGAAATAAACAGGGTCCAGATTGTGAGATCTTGTAAGCCACAAGTGAATATTATCCTAAGGACAATGGACTTGTTGATGGAATTTAAGGAGTATGACACAATCAGATTTGTGTTTTTAAAAAATCACTCTTGTTGCAATGTTGAATATGAACTAGATGGGAACAATATTGTAAGAGGCCTTTGCTGTAATAAAGGTGAGTGATGACAATAGCTTCCTTCAAAGAATGTGAAAAAAAAAATGTGAAACCTCATTTGTTCATTCAACATTGGAAAAAAGAACCTCAATTCTGGGTGAGAGGCTGATTCCCAACATTCTCTTTCCTTCTCCCACTCATAGTTATGCCAGATAATGCATATTTTGCATCTGAATACAATATTCCGTATTCTTATTACAGTGACTGAACATATATATCATTATTTTAAATTTAACAGAGTTAATGCAAATAGTGCTTTACATTTTGGGGGCTTTATGCTTTTGATATTGTAAAAATTTTCAATTTAAACAACACACCGATTATCTCAATATGTGTTAAATTCTTTATTCCATATAGTTGTTCATTATGGACCTGGAGAAAACCATTCAGAAGATGCAGTCATGATGAATACACCTGTGGTTAAAGCTGCTTTGGATATGGGCTTTAGCAGAAGGCTGGTAAAACAGACAGTTCAGAGTAAAATCCTAACAACCGGAGAGAATTACAAAACCGTCAGTGATCTCGTATTAGATTTACTTAATGCAGAAGATGAAATAAGAGAAGAGGAGAAAGAAAGGGCAACTGAGGAACAAGAATCAGGTACACATATTTGTTAGTACAGTCTCTATTTCCATAATGACTTGATGTCTCTGTATTGTAAGTTACTGAAAATATAGTCAACCTAATCAGATCTTATGTTTAGTATTCTGCATTTTAATTCTGAAAATTTCTTCACATTAAAATATATTTGAACCGCTTAGGAAATTGAAAATGTATATATTGAATGAAAATAATTTTTCCTGCTTTTTCTTATTTTATATTTGTACTCTGGGTAGTTGACTGTGTACGTTATTATTTATGGCATATTTTTGATCCCAGGCTGGTTGCTCACTCCCATTTGCTGTAAACTGGGGTGGGATCAGGGACAATGATTAATTTTAATATTAGTATAACAGTCTGTCTTAGCCTGTGACTATAAATTAATGTACAAATTATGATTAAGTCTTCTACCTGCCCACATAAGAGCTGAGTTCCCTTTTGTAGTCTCCCTCTAGTAATTAGGAGAGTTCTAGGATACTGTTTCACATTCTCTCAAGACAAGTTACCCACGCCTTCCATATTAGCCTATTCTGCTACTCTGTTGCCTCTGCTCTATTGCCCTTCACAAAAACTCTCTTCCTCTGAGCCTATTCAATCTCATCTGGTTGCTGTGACTACTATCATGACTTTGGCCTTGACACTGAGAAATGATCTCTCCTTTGCCGCTCTTTCCCAGCATGGACCAAATCTGAGAGTTGTTTCAACACAGTTGAAACCAGACTGCAACAAGCTCTTACTGGAGATTTAGGGATGACAGAAGGGCATTATGTCACAAATGACAATTGACAACTGTAACTGTACGTGGCCTCTCTTGGTGCCCCTATGCCCATCCTCATGAATCTCCCAGCCTAGCTTCTGGTTCATCTCTGTGTAGCTCTCACTAGCTCATACAAATTACTAGGAAAGTCCCAAGCATGTTTTCCCTAATTGAAGCTCAGGCCCTCAAATATCCATGAAGCCCAGAAAGAAAAAAGAGTATGCCGCTTATCCTTGTCCGAGGCCATCTTAGATCTATTTCTTTTCAGGATGATCGACTGTGAGACTGTCCATTCCATTCCTGGATAAACTTACCCTTGCCCATAAAGGTGGATTTGTCTTCTGGCCAACTCAGACAAACATATCAGACCATAGTAATACAACATCCTATATATTTACCAAAATGTGAATTATTCAGTCCTCCACACCAATTCAACAGCAACATAGTCCAAGTTCATCTTAGCCCAGTCAGTCAAGTTCTCTTTTCACTGTGAAGACCAGGCTGCATGTCCTTTCTGTAGTCTTCTCAGTCTTGGCCATTGGTCATCAGTGAACAACTGCTCAAAGAAAAGAACACCCATCTTCATAATTATTTATAGACTTCATGAAGTCTAGAGCTATTCAGCTATAAAATATTTATATTTATTCCAAAGAAAATCAACAAAGTTTCCAGAGAAAACCCCCAGTCAACAATATACAATGATTTGCATTGTCAAAAAGATCTCTTAACTTCTCAGCTCAGCATTATATCAATACCACCTTGAACAATATCTGCACATAATCTGTACACAAAAAATACTTTTTGAATGGGCGAATTAAAATACTTTCTACTTAGGTTACTGATTACTTTACACTTTCCCAAAAGCTGGGTATGTAATTTCTTGACAGGTGTATAAACAAAAAGGCAATTAAGGATATATTTGTCCAGAATAGAATATGCTTCAAAGGTATTTTCAAGTCTTCACCTCTTATAAGTCTGAATACAGTCTATGACTTTGAAATGAGACTTTTTTCCATAGCTACCAGCAATCCAACTTTAGAAATCTTAAGAATTTCAGAGAACCTATTACATTAAGTAAAATGTAATTAGGAAAATTAATCTTAGAAGAATGAATATACTTCAACATCAAGTGTAAATTATATTTTAATTTTCTAATGCATCACTACTTGTCTAACATAATTTAACAGAATTAAGTTCTAATTCTTCTCCCTTCTGGCTATTACTTCTTTGTTCCTATTGCTCTTTAAATTACTAAGGCTTGGTTGTTCATTTGTTCAATAGATGTTTATGAAACACTGTTCTAGGTCCTGGTCTTTTTATTCTCAGAGCTTCAATTATCTTCAAAATATGTATCTCTAACCTTGACTTTTTGACTAAGCACAATTTTTTATTCTTCATTAAACGGTTCTATTTTTGTGTCCTATTACCTGACAAAGTCAGTATTTCTAAAACCTGATAATCATCTCTCCCCAAATAATTCTTTAGACAGCCCAACTTCTGTCATTAGTTATAGAAATAGCTTTATGGATCATGGTAAAACTATATAATAATTAATTCATTAACTTAGAGTTATAAGTCACTTTCCAAAGAGATAATACAATTTCAGTTTCAAAATATACAACAAAACCTAGATCTCGAAGAATACAATGATCCTCTAGGACAGGAATGTTATTGACAGTGTGACTTAGTTTTCAAAATGCTATTAGTGACTTTCTCCTTTTATTACAAAATATTTAGGTAATCGTAATATCATATCGAATTTGGGGAAATAATTAAAATTTCATCTTAAAATTCAATTTTAAGGAATTTTGTGGGTGAATAATTTTTTAAAATGTTCATTTTAATTTTCTTGATTTTATTTTTCCCCAATTTGACTAGATTGAATTGAAATTTCAATTTTATTAGGTTCTAAATTTTATTTGGTTAAAGGTTTAGCAGTATTGCCATATGGTTGAGAGCACAGATTATGATGCCAACTTGCCAACCTACCTTGGTTGGACTTTTGCTAGTTGTGTGTCTTCTAGCAATTTACTTGCCACACCATGCCTCCGTTTTCTCATCTGTTAAATAAGGGTACTGGGATCTACCTTAAAGTGCTGTTGTGAAAATGAAATGAGTAAATACATGTACAGTATTTACTACAGTGCTCAGTGTTAGTCCTTATTATAAATAGTAGTAATATTAGGCAAGGGGATCAGGTACCCCCAAACCTAGCAATCAACTTCAATGCCTGATTATGAATTATGGTTGTTTTTCATTCAGTTATATGTGTAGGTATGGAAGAAAGTTTGTGAGCAGAATTTGAACATGTTTGTGTTTTTTTGTTTTTTTTTTAATAAAGATGATCTATCATATATTCGAAAGAATAGAATGGCACTTTTTCAACATTTGACTTGTGTGCTTCCAATTCTGGATAGTCTACTAACTGCCAGAGTAATCAACAAACAAGAACATGATATTATTAAACAGAAAACACAGACATCTTTGCAAGCAAGAGAATTGATTGATATCATTATAGTAAAAGGAAATGATGCAGCCACTGCATTCAGAAATTCTCTACAAGAAATTGACCTCACATTATACAAGCATTTATTTGGTAAGTGCTGGAAAATTACTTTCAAGAACTTTCTAGGTCAATTGAAAATATGCTCTTATTAATAATTTGTGATTATTGAAAGAATCCAATCTAATATATAAACTATTAATTGTACAAAAAGACTAAAAACTTTTGTTGCCTTGACATTATGACAGTTATTTATAGTATTTGGCCAGAGTCTCAACCATTAGTTTAAAAGTATATATTCTGTAACTAAATATTAACCTTATTTGCCATAGTAATGCTTTTTTTTTTTCTCCCTTAGTGCAACGGGACATAAAGTATATTCCCACAGAAAATGTTTCAGGTAAAGTAGTATTAATAATTTAAACTAGTAGAAAACATTATTTTTATTTTCTTGATTTTCATTGGAGGAGAAACAACAAATTGCTTTATTAAAATTTGTTTCTCTTTTTAGATTTACCAGTGGAAGAACAATTGAGGAGACTACAAGAAGAAAGAACATGTAAAGTGTGTATGGACAAAGAAGTGTCCATAGTGTTTATTCCTTGTGGTCATCTAGTAGTATGCAAAGATTGTGCCCCTTCTCTAAGAAAATGTCCTATTTGTAGAGGTACAATCAAGGGTACAGTTCGTACATTTCTTTCATGAAGACAATACAAAATTTTAGAATGGATTAAATGTACTGTAATTTTAACTTTTATACTGATTTGGTTTTCTTAAGATTTTTAATTTATTTACAACTCGGAAAATTTTGTTTTACACAAATATAAATATATTTATAT